CTCGCTCCGGGAGACATTTCTGATCGTCATCATAAAGCGATGAATTTGGCTTAAAGACATCATGTCTTTGCTAAATTTATGTTTCATAGTGAAAATCCAATTTTTGGGCAAACAGAATCTACTCGATTGCGATGACACAATCCGTTTAATAGCCTTTTTCCTAATTTGTTTCCTAAACTACACCCCTATACTCCTTCATCGTCAACACCCTCCTGCCCCTTGTGGACTATATTTCAGTGATTGCCTCTCTCCATCCTAATTAGGATATTTTAAGCCAAGGTTGAAAGCTCATATACATCGCCAGGATTCTGTTCTTAAGTGTTTACTCAATTAGAGGAGACCTATTTATTTCAATGCTTGTCCGATAGCCTGATCAGTCTTTAAGTAAGTATCTTAGACGCAGGAAGGAGGCTCAAGCCACTGGGTGCGACACCTCTACGAAGTTTACGTTCACATAGCAGCTTTCGGTATGTGCTTACTTTCTTTGATACTAAGCTAGCGCATTGTCACCTTCAGACTTATGAGTTCGAGTTATTATAAAATCTCACGCCATTATTCCAACTTTTGCACTGAGTCAGCGTAAAAAATCCTTTGACATTACCATTCAACTAAAACCGTACCTTTTTGTGAAACATTTTCATGGCCACTTTTAATCCTCGAGGACTGAAAAAAATCAAAGTAAAATTAGATCGTTTTCGTGAATTTTACACTTTGGACATTACTACTCGCAGTCAAGGGTCAATTTCTCTCATTTCCTGACATCACTTCAGTCGCCGTGAAGACTGCACTGGAAACGAAAACAAAAAATCAAACATCGCCCATGTTGATTATACCTCTTCTAGCACATAGATCTATCAGTTCAAGATTCTTCTTGTCTTCAGATCAGCTGAAAAAACTATTGCATTCAAGACAACAGACAACTTATTTGGAATTTTCAGCAAGTTGATAACCTTGGAATGAAAGATCAAGGAGGATCGTTTTTGCTACCAAACATCTTTTCCTTTAAACTTTCCCGGTTTTCCTTCATTGTCAGGCTCAAACTAGAATTAGATGACTCTTAAATTGAAATACGTTGGATATTCAGCTCTTAAACAATCAACCTGAACATTTTCACAGTTTATTCGAGACAAACGCGATCTAAAATCATAAAATCAAAGCAGTATACTAAGAGATCGACCTACATACATGTAATCAGGCTGGCTTTGCGTTAGTGAGACTTGCATCTTTTCATTTTTACATATGTAAGAGCAACGACAAATTGTCTCGTTCAAGAATTTTGCGGTTTACCTTTATGATGAACATCGTCAAACCATTTAACCAATACAAAAAAATCTGTTGAGTTTTTTTGAAAGGGTCCGTAGCACCTGCCTTAGCAACGAACCATAGATTCAGCGCCTCGAGGTCATCAAATGCGGACCCAAAGGAACATTTTGTTATCAAAATCAAAGCCCCTAATCCAAAAGAATCCGATAGGTTGGTCGAAATTAGACAACGGTTTTGGGCCGAAGTTTAAACCGTTTGAATGTTTTCAAAAGTTTCAACTCAATAGGTCTGACAGAACATCGCAGCCAACAACGTTTTCCAAACGCATTCAACATGAAAATAGACCTTAAAAATAGTCGTACACAGCGCCTTAACCCGTCCACAACGTTATAACGATCTTTTTTATATAGCGATCTTTTTCTGGTTCACCAGGATTTTATGGTCAAACAGTATTTCCATTAACAGTGTTCCACTGTATTAAAAAATTGTATCGACTTTGACCTGTTTCAATTTCGCTTATATACTAAGATACTACTTAACCTCTTTTATGCCAACATTGTATTGTTACCTCAGTTAGTTATGCTGTTTTCTGTTTACTGTTTTCAAATTTCAGAACAGTTTATAATTGAATGTATCAGTTACGACAGATGAAGTTTTTCCTGTTGTTCACTACCTTCGGTGTCGTCTTGAGCGCTAGTGAGTATCTAACTAACTGATTAATTTAGAAGATACAAGACAACAACAATAGCAAAAACAAAAACAACTTGCAACAATTAAGTTATTTGTACCTGACATTTACTGCAATTGATTATATTGTTTCTAGGGGTATTAAGAAAGTGTCCGGCAGACTGGCAATATTTTTCAAGCTGCCCTAAAAAGAAAATAATACTAAATATCAATCTTACTATAGTTAATCAATATATAACTAATTAGTTTGAAATACTTATTAATATAAGATGCAAGGCAGATATCGTACCACCAGTAGTGGGCGATTTAAAGTACCATCCTAATTGGTAATTTCTAATTCAATTCTCCCACTTTCACGTATTTGTCATTTTTGTACCTTTTTTCAGCTACACACGAAGAATGGGGCTATGCAGACACGAAAAATGATGGTTGGTATAAAGCAACAATGATAATTAATCACTTCAGTTAATGTCCTTCACGGTACTAGAGAGAAACCCAAAGTCCTTCTCATATAAGAGACAATTAGTAATATTATACATGAACTATTAATAAAATAAGAAAGCAAGATATCAACTACTCGTCTTTTACGCAAAACGTAATTTGTTTATGGCCCTTAATGAAATAAGATTTTGAGAAACCATCACAAATTTCTTCAGTCTGAACTTATTGCAAGTTCTAGAAAGAAATTTTATGAAATCAATGATGGTTATGGGAATTCGTTATTTTTATTTGCCTTTGGTTGAAATTGAAAGTCTCGCGCCATCGATTCTCAATTAGCGAGAAGACACGAGACCGTGACTTGCTTACATACGCTTTCACCAAAAGAAAGGGCTGATTTTATTTTCTTCCAGGTCTTATTTCTTAATTGAGCTGCCAGCTTCGAAAATGATCAGCGAGAGTACTTCACTAACAATCCATCGAAAACCTTGTTGTGAGAAAAGGAACAGGAATCATGAACTTATCCAATCTTGTCATAATTGATCGCAACTCCCACCCCGGCCAACACGAATAACCAAAGGAACACTTGAATAGACGTAAGACGAGTGGACGGAACATTTTACTACCACTTAAAAAAACGTAACAAGGGACGGATGGGCGGATAAAATTGAAGACGATTAAAACGGATTGCAATTGGGCCGATATTTGAAAACTGTTTTGCCCAACATTGTTTAACCCTTTAAGTCCCAATAGTGACCAACAGCAATTTTCTCCTAACAATGTCCATACATTTTCAAGAGATAAGGTTGTGAGAATATAAAAAATGATCATGAAAGAGAAAATGCCTTGATGTTTTATTAAATTCTCTCAACTAATTCTTAAAGGAAATGTATGGAGATCAGTTTAGAGAATTTGTATGTGGATACTGGGGCTTAAAGGGTTAAAGCTGACTAGTAAATTGTTTGTGAGTTCACGCCTGCTCGCTCCGGGAGACATTTCTGATCGTCATCATAAAGCGATGAATTTGGCTTAAAGACATCATGTCTTTGCTAAATTTATGTTTCATAGTGAAAATCCAATTTTTGGGCAAACAGAATCTACTCGATTGCGATGACACAATCCGTTTAATAGCCTTTTTCCTAATTTGTTTCCTAATTAATTACAGTGCCAGGCCCAGCAGACTGGAAAGATAAATTTGACGACTGTGGTCATTCACACCAATCCCCAATTGACATCGTTAAAAGTGAGACCGTGCAGGAGAGTTACAGTCCTCTAAAAATCACTTTCGACAACGCAAGGGGGCTGGTGACTGGAAAGCTTGAAAATACTGGACATTCACCAAAACTTACAATTGCTGATTCCAATGGAGCTTCACTAACTGGGGGTCCCCTGGGAGATAAAACTTTCGAATTGCTCCAGTTTCATGTTCATTTTGGCTGTGCAAATGATCGCTGATCTGAGCACACCCTTGATGGAAAAAAATTTTCTGGTCAGGTAAGTATATAACAAAAACCACTTGAAACATTTCTTTGTATACCTCTAGTGGCGGTAAAATTTCAGTTTTCTTGTAGCTATGCCCTGGACGATCTGTGAGGGGCACAAATCCGCTGGTCAAAACAATCGCCCAGGACACGATAGCCTACCTTTCCAACATTAGGAGCTGAGCGAAGTCATTAGCTCCACTTTTCTACTGCAATTATATATACTGAAAATCAATAATGAAGTTCGAAGACAGGCATTTCCTTAGGATTCAGTCTCTCAATTGGGCGTTCCATCAAACTAATTGTTAAAAAATGGTGATCAAAAGCGTATTTTTATCATAATTTCTTCCGGCTACCACTCCCATAAATTTTGGATAGGTGTGCCGCCCAAGGTCTTAAACCCTTACCCCACTTAAGGATACGAGAAACAAACGTTTATACGCTATTGAAGGCTCAAACCCAAAAACGGTAATGAATGGGTAATGAATGCAAGAGAAGAACAAAACCAAAGAATTTGAAAACAACACACGAACCTATAGATATTAAATCGTTTTCATAATACTCTAAGGGATCGTCCAGTTTTAACGGAGATGATTTATTATATTTCTCGTGCTGTACATGCAGTTACGCACTTGAATTTTAACTGACACAATTCAGGTACACTACCTAAGGATCACTCGAGGAACACGATACCAAAGAAGGCCAAAAATGATACCCTTGTTAAGATTCGAGAATCCCAATAACCATACCCAGTCGGGAGGCACAAACTTATCTAGACGCGATGCAAAAACCAGTTGTCTTGTGATTTAGACAGAAGGTTTATCTTGCCTGGCGCCGAACACGTGCTTTTGCTTCCACTTCTGATTGGCCAGTTAGCATGTCTACATCTGCAATGTGATTGGCCAGACGAGCTACGGTAGTTTTTGTTTGCAAGATATTATCTTCGCAATGGGTTACATGCTGGGAAGCGAAAGTATGAGTGGAGCACGACCTTCCAGAGGTCAGTTCAATATAGTTTGAATGGAATTCCTCGTAGTCTCTACACACACGTGATATACGCGTGCCCTTACTGGAGTAAAATCATCGTAAACTACGATAACGGTGAGCTTTTGCTCTTTTCCCCAGCTTCATATGGTATTTGATGGTCCTGGAGAAGAGCTTGCAGTCGTAGCCCTTTGGATTAAGGTACAACCCACTTCTCTGGAATAACAAATAAGTGTGAACAAATCTAATGCAGTTTCGCCTGTATTTAGTCGAATAATTCAGCGTCAAAAGAAAACATTTTTCAAGAAGCCAAAGTTTTTCGAAGAAAATGTGGTTTATATGACCCTCCAGAAAAAATGAAGCCCATACTTCATGGTTAAAAATTAAAATTGCGGTTTTTTAATTTATACAAAAATACTTTTATTGTGTCCTTTGAAATTAATAAAAAAAGGAACTGTGACAGCTACGGAGACTTTTTTTTCAGCTGCAGGTTTTTTCACCAAATATACCTGCCGCTAAAAATTGATCTCAGGAAAAAAGGATTTTTAATTGTTTAAAAAGACAATATTGGCAATTACGAATAATATTTTAGCCTCCTTGGATGCATCTAGGAAAAGTGTAGAAGTAGAAGGGCGATAAAAAAAATGTTGCAAATCACAGGAAGTTCGATCTATTGAATTATTTACAGGCACCCTCCAAAGGAATCAAAATTTTTGGAAAGTTAGCAAACCTGATGAAATACATCCTCGACGTTGGTAGGTATATTAGAATACTTATTAAAAGTTCAAACACGAAGAACATGTGAGCAAATCCTCATGTGTCCCCTTCTCGCTTTTATTCTCCGTTCATTGGCAATCAGCAACGCCCCTGCCCCCCCTTCTTCGTACACTTGCAAAGTTTATCAGCAATCATTTTATCCTTTAAGCTTCAATATCCACGTAAAAATTCTCAAGACCGATCTCCATGCATTTCTTTAAAGAATAGCTTGAGAGATTTGATAAAAGATCAACGCACTGTCTGTTTGGCAATCATTTTTTTTATTCACTGTACCCCAAGAATTCGATTTACACCAAATTTACTAAGTGCATATAGGGTGCAAAAAAGTGCAAACTACAGTCAAATCAAGGGCAAAAATGGTAAATACGGTATTTGCCCTTGAATTTACAAGCTATGTAAACTGGGGTGCAAATGCGGTATTTACCAGATCTTTGCCTTTGACTTACTCCTAGTTTGCACTTTTTTGCGCTTTATTTTTATTTGTCGCGAGGAAATACACGGATGTGTAAATCTAATTTTTCGTTCAGTGATTCTCATGACCTTTCTTGTTGTTTGTGCATTAATATTACTAGTAGAAAGATGATGTTGGTTAAACTTGGGATTTAAAGGGTTTAATGCTGATGTCACAGCTCAGTAACGGAGAATGTCGTTGCCTCCGTTACTTACACGATATAATTTTAATTTTAAGCACAATTTTCATTATTGTTATTTTACCACGTTAAAGAATGGCCAAAAAATGACAATAAAAATAATTTTTAAGTACAGAAGGTGAAATAACAAATGAAAATTATTGAGCTACTTTATGGGTTACTTTGAAGAGCTCAAATTTGCCAAAAGAACTTTTAAGCAAAACTTGAGAACACGTCAGATCTCTGCCTCGTTCCCAGGCGACTTAAGCGTTTACCATGGGAACGTAAAGTGTTGGCTCAAAAGGCCCCCGGGGAGGGTGGGCATTTTCCTCTCCGCCTTTCCCATGATTCCTTGCGCGAAACCAAAATCACTCCCGTTGATGTCGATCATGTATCCGCAAGAGCGCTCCTGGGTCAGATCTTTCACTCGATGAAAGATGCTCGGCTCAGCTGTTTGAACGCTTAAGGAAACAATTCAACATCACCTTATTTTACAGATAATACTCATACTGTGGACAAGAAGGATGGAATTTATCTTATGGATCTGATTCCCCAACATTGTCCAAACGGTAACGGCAATGGTAATGGCAATGGTGGTAATGGTAATGGTAATGGTAATGGTAATGGCAATGGTAATGGCAATGGTAATGGCAATGGTAATGGCAATGGTAACGGTAATGGCAATGGTAATGGTAATGGCAATGGAAATGGTAATGGCAATGGAAATGGTGGTAACGGTAATGGTAATGGCAATGGAGGCAATGGCAATGGTGGTAACGGTAATGGCAATAATAATAACAAAAAGGACTCCAAAAGTTTGACTTTAGAATGTTACTACAGTTACGAGGGTTCCCTCACTACGCCTCCTTGCCTTGAAACAGTACACTGGATAGTTGTGAAAGATTATCTCCTGGCCTCTACGAGGCAGGTATGTAATGCTCATGCACTAACTTAAATAACTGACATGGTCTAAAGAGAGCTTTTAGTTTACAATTAAGAGTGGACACTCTACAGGTAAACTAAGTTACGGGACTCGATCTGGTTCGAGACCGTCGATGTCAGAATAGCATGACCGGTCTTCGTTTTATTGAATGAAAAGAGATCTGCCGGACTTACGTTGGAAACGGGATGGGGTTGCAATTGTGTCGTCGTAGCGCGTTTTACCGGTATCAGGAGGAGGTCGGGACGAGAGAGCCATTCGCGATCGGATGTGGTCATTTCCAGAGTCTTAAGTCAGGACATCGTTAAGGGCAGAGTTCAATGAGGTAGCTCGAAAATTTGAGGGGGACCACAGGGGTACCCTGCGCCACAGACGAAAATAAACTCTGGTTAAGTCTGTCTGCGAAACAGCGCGGAAATCCTTGTTCTGGGCCCCCACCTTTGTACCAGGATTTGAGTACGTGCCATGATTGGCCTCTTGAAAAAGCCATTGTCAGTTTTCCGATCAGCCTAAAAGGAAATTCGAAACGTATTTCCAGTAATTCGTTGAGTCCGTTGGGGGCCCAGAACAAGGAAATCGGCGCTGCTTTGTAGACGTTACTAACCGAGGTTAAATAAGGTCTCCTAAGCAGGCTGCCACAGAGGCAATTCCCAGACAATGACCCAGACTGTTCAAGGTCCCCTATTTTTCGGTGAGATCGTTGAGATCGAGCACTTTGCTTTATAGGCATTCATCTTGCTTTCTAATATTTGGCGTCTAGCCTGGGAATAAATATCAAATCTATATAAACCCCGACGCCAGCAGTGAAATCAAGATGGCTTGTAGTTGCGGTACTTGCTGACCATGCTATAAATCTGACGATCTTACGAAAAAATAGGGGACTTTGAACAGTCCACTGTAACCTCAATGGCGTAAACAGGAAGGGCTGAGTTTTACCCCAGCTGGATGGTAGTTGATTAAGTCTGACTTAGACGGCATTTAAAAGGGAGAGTACTCGATAGGATTGGGCTATCGCATTTGATACCCGCACTCCCTGGTAGAGGACCCATGTGCCGGTTCGTAGGCTAGGATTCTCTTAAAATTTCAAGGTGTTGCAGTGAATCAATCTTAGTGAAAGTTTCAGACATTGTTATATACATCATGAAGATTATGTAATGAGGTTTAAAGTGTGATTGAAAAACATTGGTATGGTCTCTCAAAAACTCTATCGAAATACCTTAAACCAGATGATGGGTGTTAAGTTTCCTTACTTGACACATTTTTTTGTGTGTTTCAGCTTAACAAGTTCAGGAAACTGAAGGGTGAACATGGTAGAAATCCTCCTCTGATGTGCGACAACTACAGACCAGTCCAACCACTGAATGACCGCACTGTTTACTCCGTCACAAATAACGATTAGTATCAACTCACAGATGAAGAAATGCCAGCAGTAATTATAATGGTAAACATAAACAGGCACTGTAACATTTGCTCAGTCAAACCCCGTTAGTACGGACACTGAGGGGGCACAGGTAGACCAGCTATACTAAGGGGATGTTCGTATTAAGCGGGTTGAATTTAGGGAAATTAAAGCTAGGGGCTTTCTTTCCCCAGGGACAAAGAAAACTGTCCGTAATAATGACGTGTCCGTAAAGCGGGGTTTGACTGTATCTAAAAGCAACCCTAAGAGACATTTTTTAGAGATTATACTAAACGGAAACAACAAATTGCCAGGAGCAGCCAACGACCGCTTTACCAAATTGATTCTATGAATAGCCTGTTGGAGCGTTTTTAATGTTCGGAAAATGCATTCTAAGATCCTCATTTCCCAGGCAACCTAGGGTCACTCTCTCAGCCGAATCAATTTTAGCGAACGTTTATATGCGAAATAGGAAGTTGATCCCTTTGTCCGAACTAACAACGCTCCCACATGCTGTGATTGTCTCGTTAAGACCGAGTTGACCCGAGAAGGCAAGCCAAAGTATTTAGTATACATGGGGAAACGTTAGCCCGGCTTAGAGGTTGATCCTACTACCATCAGTCAAATAATGTTGGCCCAGGTAGGTGGATCCATTCCTTCTACCCGAAACATGTAAAGTGGTTCGCCACGTTTTGTAATGAGATAAATGAAAAGTTAGTTGGCTCGTCCGTCAGGGTAGCTCGCCAGTCGGGTAGGCAAGTGACCCTTGCACCTGGGACACCTTTTCTCCACATAAAGGGTGCCTAAGCGCTAAAACTTCTTATTTATCTTTGCGGTCATCAGATTGTAAGCTTTTACGCCGCCTTGTCTAATTTACTAGGCTTACCCTTAATGTTTCAATCTTGGATTCTTGAAGAAGTTTTCCTTACGACTAAACCTTAAAATGGTGAGACAGTGAAATCTTTCTGATACCAATTTACGTCACACTGTTCTTGAAACCGAAATTGCAGGAGGTCATCATTTCATACGAATAATGGCCGAATCTATAGGAAGTACATGTGAAAACCTAGTTTTCCAAAATCTCAAATATATGGAGTAGTCATTGTTGGCTGATTACAGACAACGGTCGTTGGGTGTTCCTCAATTGCTTAATACACAGGCGACGATATCGCTTTTAAACGCGATTGATTCTAATTTTATTTGGCACTGATGTATTTTGTTTGTTCAGTCAATAAACTGTTGGTGGGAAAGTTAATGAAGTCGGTTTTCTAGACATCGTCAGATTTATGCCAACTAGATATCTTGGCTCAACTCCGTTCTGGGCCAGGGGTTTGTACTACAGATCGGGCTTTGACGGTGGTTTGAAAACAAACCTACATAGAGGTTGCATACTTATTTGTTGCATTGACGTCTAAGTGAGTTTCGTAACTTGTACCCATCCCGACACGAATACTTAACTTAACCTCGTCTTACTTTATAATGGACCTCTTTAGCTTGTATGTTTTGTTTTTCCAATAAAAGTCTCCGGGGAATTTGCCCCTTCGTATTTTTTAAATCATGCGTACTTATGCACGGGAATAAAACTAAGTTTGAATGAAACAGTTCTCTAGACTGTTACTGCGTATGACATATACATTTAAAAAAATAAAACATACAAGCACGCTAAACAGGCCTAAATGCTATAGTTTCCGTGATGTTGACGATTAAAATGACATTACTTGAGTTTTTTGAGAGAGCATCGTCCTAAAGCGAGAATAAAAAATCCCAAAGTTGCTTAGTGCGCATGCGCCGACGAAGTAAGTATCATTTTACATGGGGCTCAGCCCCAATGAATAATACATTTCTTTTGTTTTGTTCCCATAAGACTCAGAACCAATTATGAACTTTATTATCAATGTATCAAAAGTGGTCTATCATAATCATTTCTAACTCAAACACTTTTCAATGCATCCATATGCAACCCGGGCCTCTGCGTTTTTACTAAAATATAAAATATCAGCAAGTCCATAGTGAGAAACTATTGAGTGGTGCCGTATCTCCCAGTTGTAGGCCTGGATCAGTACAGCAATAACTTGCGGAAAATCATAAAACGGCAAACTGATCCTTACGTCAAGGCGATATATATATTTTCAACAAATGTTTAGCAAATTTGTTAAAAAAATGTACATCTCTTGTTTTATTCTTTTGTTTACTTCTTCATCGCCTTGCCGCAAGGAGCAGTTTACCGTTTTGGGATTCTCTGTGTTTTTAGCGGGTCTTAGAGCTCTCTGCATGACTAAGCTACATAGTTACCACCGGTTCAGATTAATTGACACCACAGATCGAGACATTACTTCATTATCAGGGTATTCGCAGATTAGGCGGGGACTTAAAATCAACAAAGCCGTGAACTAATTTGTATGCTATAACTATCAACATAGAGTACACACAAGACACTTGTAATCATAGTCTATAGCTGTACCAACAGTACAGAGCAAAATAGAAAATTCAAACCGTAAACTGCCGCCCGCTTATAAGCCCCCCACTTATAAGCTCTACCTCCCAATTATAAACCCGCCATCTACCGTAAAAAATCGTGACTTCCGATTATAAGCACACCACCCGGATATAATCCCCCTCAAAAATCTTTTGAAATGATTCGATTTGATATCAAGTTTTGAAGCTTGATTAAAAACCAGTTAACACAAAAAGTACTTTGATCAGCACTACTCTCGCTTGTTTCGAAGCACTTTTTCTTTTCCGGAAATAAGCCCGGCCCCCTCGGATATAAGCCGCTCCGGTTATAAGTCCACTTAAAACCCCTTGTGAAGACGTATTAGCCCAGGGGTTATAAGCTACAGTTTAAAGTAGCGCTATTACGTAACCACGCATATGTTTTAGTTTGTTGGGCGACCTTTGATTGTAGCTTAATTCGAATTACAAAATTTATATTACCTGTCGGTTTGAAGCCTTTTCAAAAAAGAATTGATAAGAATACGGCCGAGAACCTTTTCGTGAGATTTCACTACAACCTACTTTATTGTCGTCGGTGGTTATGCAATGTCGGAACCATAAAAAAGTTCCATTCATTTTTTTCTCCTTTTTTTTTTATACATTTTAAAGTAATATTTCCAACTGGAGCTGGAGTGTTTATTGTTTTTTTCTGCCATACAAACACCGGTGCTTTCTGGTTGAACCGCGAGGCCGAACCGAGTTAATCAAATATTATACTTCAAGATATATATCGGATAATACACACATGACAAACTGTGTCAATATCTGCGGCAGTGTAGGAAATTGTGTGAAGTTAAAATTTCTGTGCTTTAGAGGAATTAACCTGAATTTAGACTAGAGTGGGTGTCCTAAAAGTGGTATAATAACGCACAGACAACAACTAATTATTAAACGTTGTATTCACACTATCTGTCTTCTCATTGGCTAAGAGCGTAACTATACAGCTCATTTGGAAATCAGCGCAACCTACAGATTAGTTAGTTATCTGCTAGCAGATAACCTTGCTGTTGCAGAGAAATAATCTACAAAGATGACCTAAAGCATCGTACAGTGGTCCCAAAGTTTTATTTCGGATTATTAAAATGTCGTTGAAAATGTAACATAAGCAGATATTTCATTGACTTTAAGTCTGGCGTTTTGTTTTCCTAGCAGACTTTTACCCTAAGCTACAGAGTGACATTTTTTGTTTTGTTTTGCTAGAACATTAGTAACAAATATTACTCCTCACATAATATTATCCACTTTTGGCTGTATCTGCCGCATTCATGACGATAAACCTGGGTTAAAAAATTCACAAAAAAACGTTTGCGAACGTGATGCAACTTGGCTCATATTGCCTTACTGCCTATTCCTTTTTTTGGTTACACAATGACCAACGGGGGACCAGTTTTGTGGTCCATAAAAGTCAAACTCATTTTATTTTTTTGCACATGTAAGAAAGACAGGTCTTTGAAATGAACGACCTTGAGTCGGTAGGAGAGCTTTTATATGAAGGACTTCAAGTATATTACGACATAGGGAAGCCGAATGTCTTCCGTATATATTTCACTAAAATATATGTAATCATTTTCCAGTGGCTTTACCTAAGCCCCTATAACACTTCAGCATCAACACCCTCCTGCTTCCTATATAGACTCTATGTCGGTGATTGCCTCTCTCCATCCTAATTAAGATATTTAAAGCCAAGGTTGAAAGCTGAGACACATACATCGCCAGGATTCTGTTCTTAAGTGTTTACTCATTTGTCAATCAGAGGAGACTTATTTATTTCAGTGCTTGCCCGATAACCTGATCAGTCTTTAAGTAACCATCTCATAGGCAGGAGGCTCAAGCCACTGGGTGCGACACTTCTGTCAAGTCTACGTTTACATAGCAGCTTTTGGTATGTACTTACTTTCTTTGATACTAAACTAGTACATTGTCACCTTCGCTCTTAGTCGAGTTTTCTGGTAAAATCTCATGCCATTCCAACTTTTGCACTGAGTCGGCGTACAAAATCCTTTGACATTACCATTCACTAAAATCACACCTTTTCTGATACATTTGCATAGTGACTATTTACCTTCTCGGATTGAAAAAAGTCGAAGGAAAGTTAGAACGTTTTCATGAATTTGCACTTTGAACATGAACACTACTACTAGGAGTCAAGGGTCAATTTCTCTCATCCTCTGCCGGCATCACGTTAGTCGCCACGAAGACAGCATTTGAAACATCGCCCATGTGAATTACACCTCTTCTAGCACATAGGTCCCAGCTATCAGTTCAGGATTTCTTGTCTTCAGAGCGGCTGCAAAAACGATTGCACTCAAGTTTACAATCTTTGAAAAGTACATTAACCGTTTTATGATACCAAACACCCTCTCTATTAATTTTCCCGGTTTCCTTCATCATCAGGCTCAAACCACTGTACATGGCTTAATGACCATTCAATTAAAATACATTTGGTATTCAGATCTTATTTAAGAATTAACATTTTTACATAGTTTATTTGAGACAATGTGATGTGG